AAGAATGAGAATGGTGGAGTTTTTGAAATTGGTTTATTTCTCGAGGTGGGATTTGAATTTCCCTGACCGTCCTTGCTTCTACTTTAAATACGTCCTATACTATGCTAAAATACTTAAATAAATACTTGTGAAAGCCAAAATTTTGGGTACGATTATGTTCCGAGTGGGTTCAGTCAACTTTAGTCAATCTTGGTTCACAGTTCAGAATAAGATAACAGAGTCCATCCAAAAAAACACCATGCCACATTTGTCCTGTAATCTACTTACACTGTGGCTTGTTTACAGTTGTCTTTGAAACGAAACTGAGTGGCTGCTACTGTGTTTTAAGTTTTAGTTAAATCATAGCAATTATAGCAAAGGGTTGAAATTTTGAAACGGAATACAAATATTTGCTTTTAATTTGTGATGTGAGAAAATGAGTGATGATGATGAGTTATGTGTTTGTAGTTTAGCGTATTTTTTATCTGGTGTCAGAAAATCGTATAAAGAAGGACACCACGCCTGTGACTCTTCTTTCACTTTTTCCAGTTCCAACCAAAAACAGGCCTATGCTGCTGCTACTACCAGCATAGATCCCGCAAATCCATTTACGGGATTCAAACTGCTATCCCATTTGATTAAGATTTTTTTAACTTACTTTCTGTCCTTCAAATTATTTTAATAATTAAGCTAAAATCAAAATCAAACACATGTCTGAATACAAAATATTATTATTTTTAATTTTAATTATTCTCTCACTTTTTATCATCAAATTCACGAATTAAATGAAACATAATCAATTCCATCATTTAATTAATAACAATAATATATTTAATTCATTCCTTCTATACATGAGAATCCGTTGCATTTTACTACTCTATTGTTAGAGTTTGTTCGAGATTATTTCTTGTGGAGAGGAATTATGTGCAGTTTGTAGGAATTTGTTAAGCATTTGATAGCATGGATTAGCGATATATTCCTATAATCTAATTTCGTTCCTGAAGATATTTGAATGTGTATGATGTATATTTACAATAATATTTTTACTAAACCATTAAGTGCATGTGGCATTATCAGGTGTAAACAGCTACTTTGTTTTATTTTAGAGACGATGTTTCGTTTCATGGTAAGATTCTTGGGCTCATAGAGATGATTATCCTTCACAATTTATCACACACATTAATAATTATCACTGGAGACTTCACAGTTTCATTCCATTGTTATTCTCGTTGGTATTTCTTACAGATTTAATTAAATTAGTCACAACGACAATAGTTTATAATCATCATTAATAAAATGATATATAATATAATAATAATATATTAATCGTTACTATGAGAGTAAATGCAAGTAAGTTTTTGTGATTATATGAACAGAGATTTCAATTACATGTTTACTGGACCACATAAAATAATTGGTGATTGGTACGCTAAACTATTTGACTGGCCCACTTATGTTTTTCAAATTCAATGATGTGTACAGTTGAAAAGAGATTTACGTGAGAATTATGACTTATTAAAATACTTTTGATTAATCATGAATATTATACAATGTGTTTATCCGTGTATTTTAGGAACTAATGGTTTTTATGTTTGAATTTGAGAAGAGTGTTATCGAAAACATTAATTAATTTAGAAGGAAAAAAGTTACATCAATAAATAATAGTTATATTAAATAATTAAAAATATCACATCGCATTTCATAGATGTGAAACAACTTCTTTGCTCTTTTGGGTGTATTTGGGGGAGATGATTTGAATGGATTTGAGTGGATTTGAGGGTAATTTTTTAATTATTTTTTTGAGTGGATTTGTGGTTAATTGAGAGTGGATTTGAAAGTAAAGTTTGTGAGAATTAGTGTAGGATTTGATTGATGTGATAGATTTTAAAAATTAGTTTAATTGGTAGAAAATAAAGATGACCAAAATGCCCCTAGTTATAAAAGTATTATAAAATGTTATTTTGTAATGTTATATTTAATTGTAGAGATGTTTATAAAGAGAAAAAAATTATGAATAATTTATAAAATTAATGTTTAAAAATTATAAAAGTTATAATGTAGTAAAATGAATGTATTTTAAAATGTAGTATTAAATTGTAATATAAATTAGTACGAATACGGAGAAGCCACTATGCAACGCAATACGCATCTGGAATAAGCTGTAACCGGTTACGTGAACCTGCAACCGGTTACGTGAACCTGCAACCGGTTACGTGAACCTGCAACCGGTTACGTGAACCTGCAACCGGTTACGTGAACCTGTAACGGAATACGCCATTAAGGCAAATTCTTCATGAAGTTGTAACCGGTTATGCCTCCGTGTAACCGAATACGTGTAGGGCATATTAGTCTTTCTATGCCATTTCATCGCAAATCCGCGCACCTAAGGCAAGATGACTTGAATAGTGTATTCTTGCAAATCAGCGCTTTTACATCCGATCAAATCCTCGCAAATCGGCCCAAAAGAACAACTATGTTCTTCTAAATCAATCCTCGCTAATGCACGTGAACAGAGAAATCAGTCCAAACGAACACAAGCTTAACCTTTCTTTAAACCACTTCTTTATCTCTGTTTTGACGTGAAATGGATCATTCAGCCAATTGTTATTCTTGCACACTCCTTTAAACACATTCTTCTTCGTCTTCCCCTTAATAGTTGTTTACATTATATTTATAAAATTCTTGCTATTATTATAGTTGTGTTACGCTTCCTAGGCATGTGTGTGTCTGATATTTCATGAGTGTTTTATAAATCATGCAAGCGGTTCCACTCGATACTCATATAGGTGATTTCATCAAGTGTATGCTGCAAATCATACACCACCCATAAGGGATATAAAAATCATTAAAACTTTTGTTTAAGCTAAAATTCTTTCACCATATAGAATTTTAATAACAAAGATTAACCTTTCATAAATGCAGTCTTTAGCACTTTCACACACATTACAGGAATGAACATAATTGATTAAAATCAATTTAGTGCTATCAGAACTAACAAGTGACTTGTTTTTACTCATGAAATTTATTTAATGGATCTTTAATCACAAAGGTTGGATTTCCATCACTTGTTTGTTTGCATAACCTCATTCCCCTCGATATTTCTAATATCATTTCTTTTTCAGGGGTTTTGTCAGAGGATATGCTAGATTTCGTTCTGACTTTACATAATGAATAGAAATAGTTCAACTCTTTAGAAATTGCTTCACCAAATTGTGTCTTGATTGTATTTATCTATTCTTTCCATTGTAATTCTGGTTTTTAGTTATAGTTATTACCGATTGACAATCATAGTGTATTGATACTGATGGGGTTGGTTTCATTCCTAGTATAATGTTTGTTGAGAAGTTTTTCAATCACTCAGCCTCATTACCAGCCATCTCAAGAGCAACAAACTCATATTCCATTGTTGATCTTGTAATAATTGTTTGTCTGGATGATCTCTATGTAATCGCACCACCCCCAACTGTGAATACAAAATCACTAGTGGATTTTGTCTCATCTAAATCAGAGATCCAATTAGCATCACTATACATTTTTAGTACAACAGAAAATCCATTATATTCAATGACATAATCCTTTGAACCTCTTAAGTATCTCACAAGTCTAACAAGTGCATTCCAATATTATGTTCCTGGTTTGGACATTGAGTATACCTACTAAGTCTACCTATTGCATAAGCGATATCAAGTCTAAAAAGGTTCAACAAGTAGAGTAAACATCCAATTTTTTGAATATACTGAGATATAGATTATATATATATATATATATAATCGTCTTACTTAAAAAATTCTTAATTTTAACAAAAATTCTAATAAAAATAGTTTAATTGGATCATTTGAAAATAAGTAAAATAACAAATTGAACTAAATAAAAATTATAAATTTAATTGAATCGTTTATAAAACTTTGAGGATAAAAAAAGATTTTAACCTATTTTTTACATAGAAAATATTCTTTAGACGTTAATCCAACTATCGTATTGCTAATCTTTAATTAATATCATATGAAAAAAAAGGACGTGTGAAATGAATTTGTTTAGATGTGCATGTTTACTTTGAAAATAGTTTGATATAAAATTTTCAACTTAACGCAATTTTTTTTCCACCAAACTTAGTCACGCAAAGCTCTAGTAACAAAATCAATTTTGTTTATAGTAAAAAAATAATATTAACATTAGCTAAAAATCAATCGCATTTGACAGAAGTAAAATCAGATTATATAACTTAATATTATTGTTTTTTTACTAAACATCACGGCTAAGTATATTTGGATTTCAGTTTTTATTGATTACTGTATCTAATGTATTTTACATTTTTCAATTTTACTAAAAACAAAATTCATCTCAAATTTCAATTTACTTAAACTGTGTAATAAGTTATTTATTTTAATTTTAATGAAGTTGAACTCAAACTAATCTCTTAAGTGAAATTAAATAATGTCAATATGAAAAACAAAATGATGTTTTTCACCTGAAAATAGTTCTAAAATGTAAATATTAATGTTCCTCACATAAAAATTAAACATAATTTGTTTATTATATGAAATGACACAAAGTTCGATTGTCTAGGTTTTTAAGTTAGCGTAGGTCGGTATCATAATTTGTTATTTGAGTTTTGTCATTGGTAGTTATGTGGTTAACTTTATTAATACAGGGTTTCTTATAATATTGCCGAAAAAAATTGTTGTTAATATTTTAATGTTGCGGTGTCAATACAAAATTTAAAACTGATTAGTTTTGTGGTGTTCATACCTAACAATTTCTTTAATGATTATTAGTTGAAGAAAGATGAAGAATGATGAAGCCAGAGCACCATCAATAGTTGGAAATCTGAAAGTTCAAACCTCAATAAGAAGTAATATAGGTTCGAATTGGATTCACCTTCGGTTGCGAATTTTCTTTCTCTGATTTTGGCATGTATATCTACTTTTTTTTTCTTACTATTTAAATCTGCTCTTCTACACGAGTATATAAACTCAAACAAAAAAAATTGCATTCAAATGTGTAAAATATTCCTTTTTTTCTTCAAACGACATGATATCCTGCTAAAAATAATGCTGTTTAAAAAATTGTAATTGTAACTACATCAAACAGGTAATGTGCAACTTGTCGTGTGGAGGCTTCACCACTTCGTCCGTGTTCAGTGTTCCAACAAGGCAACAACTCAAACGTTGTCAACTGTTTGTTGAGGTTTCATCAGCTTCCTCCAATCAATATATTCGACCTATCTCTCTCTGCTTCTCTGTTAATTCATAATGGGTTTGGAGTTGTTCTTTTGGCTTATCATTTGTTTCCCTTTCCACATCGTTTTTTTAGCCTCAACGTTCTACCAGGTATTCATCTAACTTTTCTTTCGCTTACCATTTCAAACTTTTTTCTTTGCCTGAGCTCCGTTATTTAATTCCAATGTGATTGAACTGTCAGAGAGGATTCGCGTTCAGATTGATTTTTAGCTTCGATGAATCTAAACATGTTCTTTATTTCTTTTTTGGGTTGAAGGTTTTGATGCTGACTGACTTAGAAGCCGATTTTATCAACCCATATGATGCTTCATCAAGGATTAATTATTTCATCGTTCCTGAGTTTATTGGGCAGGGATTGTTGTGCGCTTTCTGCCTTTTAACAGGTCACTGGATCATGTTTTTGTTGACGGTTCCTGTTACATGCTACCATGTGATGCTGTAAGTACTAAATTTTATACAAAAGGTGAACAATGTGCTGCTCAAGTTACATCAAAGCATTACATGATTTCTCCCCTTTTCAAATTTTGATTCCCCTTTCTTAGAAATTTGTTAAAGCGGAGTTTTTGGTGGGGGTAGTCTAAGATGAATGTTTTTCTTGCTGTGAGAATCTTCCACCTCATAGCCTATTCTTCTACTTTGTTTTGGGGGCAGAAAGGGGGTGGGAAACTAACGAAAGCTAAAATTTGAAGGTTTGAGGATTAGATGCATTCATAAATAATAAGTAACTGATTAAAAGAAATTCCGTGTCACTAAAGGAGACCTCGCTGTTAGTTAGTTTGTTTTTCATTGCTCGTGATCTAAAGAAAGTTATATGCAACAATTTTTAATTTAAGAATATGGATCAATTCAACTTTATTTTCCCATATTGCTATATAATTGATATTAAAAAATTGCAAAATTTGAAAACATGACAGCAGCTATTCATGCCAATTGATTTAAGTGGTATCATATAACTTTGTATCGACTAAGTTTACATATTGGAGATAAACGAATTCAAATCGCTGACATCTGTCACAGGATATCAGGCCCCGACTGATTCTATCATAGAGGCCAATAATAGACAATAACTCCTCCTAACACAGCTCACAACTTTCATCGAAGTGTGTCTCGAGCAAGTGCTCTCCAAAGAGCAACTCTTCTCAAAATATCAAAAGTGGTTTTTTACTGTAGCTTGAACTTAATGGTTTATCTTCTCTTTAATGCCATCAAGATATTTGTTTGTTTATATTGAGGTTTATTGTTCAATTAATCGGCATTACTAGATTGTATTCTTGAGGTTTGAATTTATTATATAGGAGATTTGGTAATGCCAATAAAAGGAACTTGTGGTCACTAGTTTTGTGTTTGAACAGTTCTGACTTGGGTCGCAATAAATATTGAACCATTGTGCACATATTTTGTTCTGAACTCCCATACAAGACTTGGAACATGAACTTCTATGTTCTGTTTCAGTTCATTATTTTTCCATTTCAATGATTCAGGTACATGAAACAGCAGCATCTCATCGATGTTACTGAAGTGTTTAGAGCACTTAACTCTGAGAAGAAATTTCGCTTGGCCAAACTTGCGTATTACATAACAATCATCATTATAACTGTCTTCAGGTTAGTTTGTGCTGCCCTTAAAATGGCATATGCTTATCTACCATATTTTTGTGTTTTACATTCTCACTGCTTAATATTATGTCTATTTATTTTTCTGATTAATATGATGCATTGGGATTATGTTAGGCAAGCCAGCCTGGTTTTTGTTACTATTAGCTAAGGTGTTAGAGTTAATTATTATTGTTGAGAGAAGATTGGAGGTATTCTGTTATTAATGTCAGGATAGGTCTAGATAATGAGAGAATATTGAAGGTTTTCTGTTTAGTTTGTGATCGGGTTTTGGAGGAAGGATCTCAGGCTTTCAAAATTCTTACAGGAACTACTTGTATTCATTATTTATTTTCACAAACTGAGTTTTTTACTCATCCAATGCTAAGGGAGATCTCATATTTTCACTAGTTCTTTCATTAATCTCTGAACCAGTAATGATCACTTTCATAATTCAGGAAGCATATCATTTTACAATTCTAAGGATGAAAAGTTAGTTATATGGGCCACTGTTCTAGGATTCAGTAAGCATATTGTAACAAAACTTTTTCATAATGCATTCTCGGAGCAAGTAACCCATTTTACTTACGGCCAAAATGCGTTGGGGGACAGTGCCTAGTGTTTTAGCTAGTAAAGTTTGGCAGTATTCAATAGGTCTCATAATGACTGCAACTGCTTGAAGGAGTTGGAACTTGCTGTTAATGTTTTCCTATGCAGTAATTTATTTTGCCTTTTTGGGTTTCTTCATAAAGACTCAGCCCATCAACCATCGTTACTATCCTATTTTATACATCACCTTCACATCTACTCTGGTTTGAAAGGATACTTGTCAAGAGAGATTATCTAAGTATAGCTGGGTTTAAGTTTAATACTTGATTTGGGGACATACATGACATAGCAGTCCTTGTGAAATGGTATTCTTCACATCTTTAGTTTTAGTCTGCGATATCATGTAACAGACGTGTGTCTACTATCCATTAAAACCTTCTCTACATAGATGCAGGAGCAAATAAGGTTTACAAAGTTTCCTTTAAGGTTAATTAAAGCTATTTTTCGGTCTTACGTGATTTCACAAATTTTGTACCTTCTGTCAACCTCCTTCAACAAAATAACTATAGTTGCCATCACAAGGCAGAATTGCAACTGGCTGTTGATGCTTGATGAGGATGGATTCTTGAACAGGTTCCTGATATCCTTCCAAATCATACCAATAGTAATGGATGCTGCAATGGATTTCATCATACACAATTGGGAACTCTTATTTTGGATCTTTAAACGTGTGTTTTCATTTTAAGTGATCATGAGAAACATGAACTTGCTTCCTAGTGTATTCCACTTCTGTACCTAAATTTTAGGAACTGAAATTAGAGTTTTCACTGCATTAAAGTATGTGCTTATACACCACTAACTGAATGGAACTCAAAGATCTTTGCTGCCATATTAATGTGTTTGTGAGCAAAGGAACCTTTTAGAAAGGTTAAGCGACCTGTGTTAGATTGGTGAAGATGAACAGTACTATACCTCTATTATAATTTATAACCATTCCAGGCTCTGAAATATTGGGTTGCAAAGTACCTAGCCTGTTCACTTGCCTTCTTGTTATGAGTATTTTTTTCCTTTTTATCTTGTTACAAAATAAAATGAATGTTTTTTTTTTCTTGAAGTTGGGTACGGTAGGGGATGGAAGGGAAGAAAAATATTTTATTTTCAAATTTAAAAGGTTATTTATAAAAATAAAAAAGAGATTAACACATAAAGTTTATGTTAATCAATAATTTTGTTATCAAATAAAAAAACATTAATTGGAAATGGAAAACTCGTCCCCCCTTTTCTAAAATACATACCCTTAAGCAACATTTTTCGTGACTATTTATCATTTTCCTCAACTTTCCATTTGCAGGCTTGTATTGATGCTTGTCTACTATTTAGATTCTGAAGATGAATGATGTGGACAAAGTTTTCAATTCCCACTACCGACTTTACCACTGTGGTTTAAGGTGGTGCTTCTTTTTCGTCTTATCCTTTTTTTAGTAATTCTTTTATGAAGATGTGATTGAGTTCTATAGCATAGGATTTAGAACACAAATTCACAGCTCTAAGAAACAGAAATCCGTCACTAATTGAATGAGTATTGCCAACTAAGGTATGTCTTTAGTTATTTGACTACAGTTGGTCATTCTCTCCTGAAACAGCTTACCAACTGATTTTTATGGTAACTGATGATTATGGAATTAGAAGATGGTATTTGGCAAGGGTGCTTTGAACATTGTATATTATTTCCTCAGAATGTTACAACTTGTTATAAAATACCGACACCCAGTGTAAATTTAGCATAAACTTATTATGAAAAAGGTGAGTTGTAATTATTGTCATGTCCACGGTCCTTCTGTTTATTTATTTATTTTATATTTGAAAGGCTAATTATTCATTTAGGTGGAAAATGCATCTTAGTTATTTTAATTACAAGAGGTCTAGAAATACTGTGATGAGAGATGTACATTAAATTTCAATACATGATTGTGCCGCTTGAGATACGCTTGTCACTAATATAATTATCTTTGAACGTTTTGGGCTCTCAAGGAGGAAAATAATGTGTTGTGTTGTGTTGGAGACACAATCACATAATCTTATGCTAAAAAAATGATTATTTTGAATAGATTTCAGTATGTTTTATTACCTGAATTTGGTATAGTAACTCTGATAATATGGTTGCTTATGTGACAGATGAAGGATACATTACCAAATGTTTTATTTTTTATTTCTTTTTATTAATTCTTAATTTTGTCAAAAATAAAAAATAAAAGAGCAATAAAATTGGATGGACAAGTGTGAAAATTGTGTTTTGCGTTGACTGGGTTGCGTTTATATAATGGGTCATGAGGTTTTTGGTTTGACAAGTAAGAATGTAAATTGTTTGGAGGACAGATACCTGGTTATTTGTTTCAAGGACTAAAAAATAACTATGGTTTTTGTAGGACTAATTTTCACATATTTTATAGTAGGTTAACCAAAAACATCGAGTCAAATAGAAAATTAAAAAATATGTTTAAATTCTTTTATTATGGCGATAAATATGATAAATATATTTTTCATCATGATCTTTGATGGAAACAGTACAATTTAGAAGGCAACGTGGAGCTAATGCTAGTGTTTTTGGACCTGCAATATACTTGACATGCCTGAGCCCAAAACATTGATGTGTTAAGTTAGACTGGCACACATGGCCCTCATCCTCATTATAATAAATTGTTGTTATATATATATATATATATATATATATATTTAAATGTTTCGGATTGATCATTCCGAAACACTTCTTTTAGATTGTTCAATCTGTAACATGTTTTGGATTAAGTGTTTAAGAAAAGTGTAAGATATATACGTTCCAGAAAACTTGTTTCGGAACACCTTTTTACACTGTTTAATCTGTAACATGTTCTGGATTGAAAAGTGCAAGATATATATGGTTCAGAAAACATGTTAGTAAGAACATGATTTTGCATTACAAATTCCAAAAACATGTTTTGAACTTAATGTTTCGGAATGGTGTAGAATATACATATATAATTTGGAAAGCTAGAATGAAATAAATTATAAAGGGTAGAACAGTCATTTTAAAAATAAGGTGTCCAATTAGTAATTATGGGGTGCAGGAAGTAAAACCTATTTTTTAAACCAAATTATTGTCACACTTAAAACTTTACCATTTCCTTTATAAGAATATATATATATATTGGGTGAAAATTCAAGTTAAGTTTTTCTCACAAACTCGCTTGTCATGTTGTAATCTGAGCTACACTATACACCATTCAGTTTACAGTCAGCATTTGATGATCAATTAACAAACCATGAAAAATATGAACACCCAGATGCAGATACTTCAATGTGTTTCTTTTGTTGATAGTTTGCAGAAAAAATGAATATTGGAGAAAGAGAAGGAGCAAACATTTTTTTATATGAAGTGGGTTTCACAGTATTAAATATGAGAAGATTTGGAAGGGGAAAGAAACAAATGGTATTAAATGAAAAGATAGATGGTTCAGTGATCCTTGAAAATGACTGAAGGCAATAAGCATCTTGGGAGAGGGGACATGGTTTTAGCATAAACCTTTCTCCTTTTTCAACCCTTCTCATAACACCATCCATAATGGTATTTTCATAACTAGATTTTTTTACACCCATTTTTTACATTTTCTTTTAATATTTTTTATTATTATTTTTTTTCTTACAAAAATAAAAGTTTTTTATTTCTTTTATAATTATTTTATCCTTACAATTGTGAAATTTTATCAAACAACATTATTCATTCATGATTGCCTCCACTCATCTTTTCATAACCAACTTTCATGTCTTGACCCTACACAATTCCTCTGTCACCTTCACCAAAAATGTTCGGTCATTTTCGTCTCTGCCGGTTTTCCGATGTGGGACCTTTCCCATCAATCTCCACCCATTTATTCTTCATACCTAAGTTTGGGGCTTTTGGGTAATTTCACCACAACCTTCCTCTTCAATTTCTGAAGAAATTCCATAACACTGTTTTCATTCTTGTTCGGTGGACGCAAATATCATAAATCTTCTCCCTAAAATACCACTCTTCACCAACTAAAACTCTGAACTTGTGTGTCATCTTCGACTTGAACGTCAAATTGCAATTAAAGCTATCACTTTCTCTTTGTTACATAACAAATATATGTATTCATTAATAACAGACAGTAATAAATACGTGTGAGAAGGCCCCCCGATAATGTATCTAATTAATCGCTGCAAATAATTTCAGAAATTAATTTAGTTACAGCTATTTCCTTTAAGATTTCTTAATTCATGACACTCTTATCATTTTGGTTTTTAAGTGAATACTTATCTCTATTATCTTTCGGTCGTAAAATGATTCTTGTGTTTTTATTTTATTTTATTAATAAACATATACAAAAATCATTCTTTTTACTTTTTTTTTTCTATTTTAGGAGTTTTTCTCTCTTTTTATTTTCCCAAAAAATTTAATTCCTATTTATATACTTTCTTTTAAAAGCGGGAAAACAGCTAATATATCTTTATTTTATTGAAAAATAATAAATATTTATTTACACGTTTACATAAAATGAAAATGAAAAAACATAATATTTTTATTTAAATGAAAAATGATAAATTACGAAATCTTATATTTTATGAAACTCTAAAAAACTATTATAACTTTATGTTGTGAAAAATCCTCTAAACAATACTTGAAAGAATTAAGAGAGTGAGTGTTTTTATAAAATTTAATGGAATATAAATATTGTAACATGCGTAAAGTTACTTTCTATTATGCACGTCATGAATTTGCATCCATCATAAGGATTAAAAAGGTGAATAAAAGAATAGGTACAACATGGAACTTATAGTACAACTAGTAATTCCTCGATATTGTATACTTCCACTCCAACCTACAATAAAATTTTCTCATGTAACAAATATGATTATTTTAAGGTTTAATTATTTGGATAGCTCTTATTTTTAGTGATTTTTTTTAAATAGGTCTCTTATTTTTGTTTGTCTTAATTGAGTTTTTATTGTTAGTTTCATACTAACACGGTTAAACAGGTGACACATGTTAGCTTGTGATTTTTTTTGAAATATTTTTTAATTATTTATATTTATATTTTTTATTTTTTACAAATAAAATATTTGTCACGTGTCAAGCTTACATTGTGTTACGTGGTAATGATCGTGTGACGTGGTACCGAGAGTGTCAAGTGTCACTGTCAGGCCACGTGTCATTTCATTTGTCTCAATTTGGTTCCTATATTTTTATTTTGTCTCAAGTTAGTTTTTGTATTTTTATTTTTTCTCAATTTGGTCTTAAGGTTTTTCAAAATTAAACAACTTTGTTCTTCTTCAAATTCAAACAAAATTTAATTTGTATATAAATCTTTATAAAAATTTTAAAATTTAATTTCTATATAAATCTTTACAATTTTTTTTATACAATTTGATATTTTTTTATTAGAAAAATAAAAAAATATGAACAACATATGACACATTTTTATTCATGTAGATTGTTAAAAGCAACTTAATTGTATTAAAGTTTCCAAAACAAAAATTAAATTGAGACAAATAAAAATAAAGAAACTCATTTGAAAACTTTCTACAAAATTAAACAACAAATGAAATCATTTAATCATGATAATACAAATGACCAAACTATACAAGTTAACATTTTAATAATAAATATTTTTTGAAGGTGATCCACACAAATAATATTTCAATAATAAATGAAGAAGTCCTGGAATAAATTGGTTTATGTGGGTATTCTTTTTGTTAATTTTATTATATATTAAGAAATTTATATTTATAAAACTAACTAAAAAATAATAATTTTGTTAAAAAAATTGTAATAATATTTGGTTGTCGAAAATGGCCTTGTTAAGATGGTCCTCCCGGAGTAAAGTGTAACGGTTCACATCAATAAATTAGCGAAGAAAGAAACGACAACCTGAACCTGACATTGGAGAACAACAGTTGCTGAGAAAGCTCCGCGTTGAGGATATAATTGTCGTGTCACATCAACTTGTTAAAAAAACACATCAAAAGAAGTGATAGAATAATGGTTTAATAATATTATGGAACCAAATAATTACTTACCTTATTTACATTTTGAAAATATTTTGAGTTTCACTCCT